TCTGGGCTGAAAGATCTCAAGTGTGTCACCTTACATACTGTCTACCTATCCCACCAGGCCTTTGCTTTCTGGAATGTTTAAAAAGTAGATGCAAGGACAATTATTACTTACTCAGACCTATGTGTAAAACAAAGAACTAGTCAGGAGATGACCAACTAGTGAGGCAACCAGCTAGACAAGTTGTTCTCATACAATTTCTCAGAAATTTCTCCACTGAAATAAATTATTAAAATGGTTTTCATTTCCAAGGTAACCTAAAGGAAGAAGGTTGAATTTGTATATTGAGAAGGATGTGGATAACTACCTCAAACCCTCTGGCTCAGTGCCATCAGTCTCCCAGAGAGTCAGGACTAGAGTTCAAATTCAGGCTTAAGCACTTCCCAGCTGTGTGATCGCACATACCCTCCCGGCCTCAGAAACCAAGACTTGCCCCACAGCTCAGCCTACCTGCCTCATGAGTTAGAGCAACAATCAAGAGACTTTGGTTAAACACAGGAGGTTAAATGAGTTTCTGTTCTCAACTGAAATTCCACTCAAAACAGTCAAGTGATTTTTTTTTTTCAGTTGGAGTCTCACTCTCACCCAGACTGGAGTGCAGTGGCCGCTCCCGGCCACCTCAGCCTCGACCTGCTGGGCTCCGGCGATCCTTCCGCCTCAGCCTTCCAAGTAGCTGGAATTACAGGCATGCACTACCACGCCTGGCTGATTTTTTGATTTATTGTAGAGATGAAGGCTTGCTGCCCAGGCGGGTCTCGAACCCGTGGGTCAGGCAATCCACTCACCTCAGCCTCCCAAAGGCGCGGGATTGAGCCACTGAGCCCGGCTTCAAGTGATTTTTTTAAAGGTCATCAACTGACACAGATACAGTAGCCAGGAAAGGAGACAAGCACAGGTGAGAGACATCAGTGATGTTTTGGAAGCAGGAAGGCTGGTGGATGAGTGCTCTGACTTAGTGAAGAAAGTAGAACTCAAATGCACAGGGAGGAAGTCAGCCTGAGGCAACTCAGTCCCTGCACTAGGTAAGGAAGGGGAATTAGAGGCCTCAGAGGTCACTCTGAGAACACGACTGCAGGCTGGGTGAAAACAGAAGAACCGATTGAGCAGCCGTATACCAAGACACTCCCTAACCCCCAATTCCGTAGCTTTACTCTTGGTAAAACTATCTTTGACTCCTGCCTTCGTGTCATAGCTCCATCAGCAAATCAGGGTGGCTCTACCTTCAAATGCTCGTCTATCCAGAAAGGCCTGCATTCCTCACCTCTAGCCCCCACCCTCCACCATCACTCCTCCACTCCAGGCACATTGGCCTCTTTGCTTTTATTTGAGCATGCCGAGCACACGTCCACCTCTGGGCCTTTGCACAGGTTGCTCTGTTGTCCAACAGCACTCTTCTCTTCCCTCAGATAGCTTCACAGCTACCTCTCCTGCCCACCCAACACACTACATATGTGTTTACCACCTGTTTCCCCCGCTGGAATGTCAGCCCCGCGGAGGCTGGAATTTTTTTGTCTATTCTGTTCACTGCCATATCCTCAGAGCCTGAACAGTATCGAAGACAACGTAGGTGCTCAATATTTGTTGAAAAGTGAGTGGGGAAATTGAACTCTGGATTAGAGGATGAAAACCCTAGTCCCAGCAGAGAGTAGGAGGACATAATGGCTATCACCATTAAGTGAGTTAGAATGGGTGGTCTCCTTTCCCCCAGAAAGGGGAGCATAAACACGCTTAGGAGCTTTACATGCCAGAATCTTTCAGTGCCCCCACCCCAGAAAGAGGGATATACGGTTTCCTGTCTCCCATAGATGCTCACTCCCCAGGGTCCGGTTTAAGAAGAATGGCAGCCCACACTATTGACTTATCTTCTTTCTTCTGGGCTGAATTGATTCAATGTACCTGTGATGCAATCCCAACTACTATTTTCTGATAGCCGATCCAAGGAACTAATCGAAAAGCCAGAAGGAGAACTAGTTAAGTCGGCCTTATAGAGTGCTGCCTGTGGTGTTTTTTGAGTGAGATTGCCTGAGTCCAGGGGTTCGAGACCAGTCTGGGCAACTTGGTGAGACCTTGTCTCTACAATAAACCAAAATATTAGCCGGGCATAATAGTATGCGTCTGTAGTTCCAGCTAGTTGGAAGGCTGCGGCAGAAGGCTTGCCTGAGGCCAGCAGGTCGAGGCTGTGGCGGCCACGAGCATGCCATTGCACTCCAGCCTGGGTGACAGTGTGAGACTCCAACTCAAAAAAAAAAAGTTTGAGAAATCAGACTGCTCAGGATTTTCATGTTTAGAACTCCCTTGAAATGTCCAACTCCCAGTATTTAAGAGGATAAAGTACAGGAAATGTGTTTGTGAAGAATACACACACAGCATTCAGAGTGTAAGAATGTAAGTGTAAGAAGTTTAGCTCAACAAGCCTTCATTAACTCACCAGGTCAAAGCTGAGTAAGACAAAGACGCCCAATAGAGATGCCTGGAGGGGAGGCATCCTACCTGAGAAGGTCCCCGACAGAGCTTCAGAGAAGGAAGGAGGGAGACGCATTCCAGAAGGAATCACCCTGGGCAAAGCTAGGAAGGCAAAAGGTGGTTCTAAGAGGTGGTGCTTGCTCACACTTGGTCAGAAGGATCGGAAAAGGTTTTCTGAAGAGAGTGGCATTTAAAAGGATCTCAGAGAGCCTTCCATTACACTATGATAGCAAGTTAGGCTTTTCCTTGATGTCACTTATCACCCCCTGTAATTATACACTCCTCCAGTGATGGCTTTTTATTTTTTTGAGTTGGAGTCTCACTCCGTCACTCAGGCTGGAGTGCAGTGGCACACTCACAGCCATCCCAGTGTCAACCTGCTGGGCTCAGTGATCCTTTCTGCCTCAGCCTTCCAAGTAGCCAGAACTACAGGTGCACGCTACCAC